TTAAAAATAAACCAAAAAAATTATATATCAAGTAATATTACAAAAACAATTAATAATGCCGCCTATGCGATTGCAACAGTTAATCTATGTTATCATAAAAGGACTTCCAGGCTGTTGATAAACCTTCAGCATCCCTGTGATTGATGCACTGCGCGGTCATATGCGCCTTGTGTATCTCAACTTTTTCCAGGTGTTTCACTGCTTGCATTGATCTTGTAGGTCTAATAATCGTTGCCTGATCCCAGTATACTGCAATTTCTTGCTACTTCGCAAATGCTGTGAGGACTGTGCTATCAACGCTTCTATTCACTGAGTATTTGTGCTCATCAAACCTTTTCTTCAGGTTCCGCATTGTTGCTCCTATATATATTAGGTCAGAGTTAAATCTATGGTCTTTCATAGGTATCGAGTAGACTCCTGTCATAGCATGAACCTGAAGAACCTGAAGAAAAGGTTTGATGAGCACAAATACTCAGTGAATAGAAGCGTTGATAGCACAGTCCTCGCAGCATTTGCGAAGTAGCAAGAAATTGCAGTATACTGGGATCAGGCAACGATTATTAGACCTACAAGATCAACGCAAGTGGTGAAACACCTGGAAAAAGTTGAGATACATAAGGCGCATATGATCGCGCAGTGCATCAATCACAGGGATGCTGAAGGTTTATCAACAGCCTGGAAGTCCTTTTATGATAACATAGATTAACTGTTGCAATCGCATAGGCGGCATTATTAATTGTTTTTGTAATATTACTTGATATATAATTTTTTTGGTTTATTTTTAATTATTTTGGTTTAATCTATACATTTTATGAGTATGGGCATGCGCTTTAGCATTAAGTTGTGAATAAGTGCTTTGAAGTTTTGTATTTTTCGAATACTTTGTTCGTTATATGGTTCAAATTTGAACTGAGGAAGAGATTGCTGAAAACGGTCGAAAATGTTTTTTAATGCATTAAACGTTGTGCTGGAATAGAGAAAGGTGTTTGTTTATTTTATTTAATTAATTCCAGTAAGCATTTATTTATTCAACTATTAAACATTAATTTTACCTAACCTTGCACAACCAATTTATAATCCTCATGATATTACTGGTGTAGAATTCAATAAATAAATAAGCAATTACTGTATCTATAACCAGCATTAATTCTCTTATAAACGAACGTTTTCTTTTGTCTTTAACGGTCATCATCAGGTTTCTATGCTTTGGAATGTTTGTAAAAGAATGCATCTTCCAAAAATTCAAAAATTGCACATCTTGAAGATACGTGCATGATCAATGTAGCTCTTTAAAAAAATGAGTCTTCAAACTGACTTCCTATTTTAAAAATTCGATGTTTATATAAATTAAAAAGATAAACTTGATAATGATCTATTTTACATCAAAATACACCCTCCACACAGCCACCAGCGAGTCATTTCTTTAAAAATTTATGGCTGTTCCCCACTTGAACACGAAGAAAATGTTCATTTATAAGAGAATTAATGCTGGTTATAGGTAATTGCTTATTTATTTATTGACAATGAATTTATTACATTTACAGCTGTGTTTTATTAGACACCGTTTTCTTGACAATCTACTTTTTCAATATTTAAAAATTCTTGTAGATAATTTATTATTTTCTTCAATATCCAATATAGAGTTTGTATTAATATTAACAATCTGTATTAACAGTTCTCATGGAATCAATACATAAAGCAGCTTTTCGTGGTGGTTTAAATAACTCTCTGTTTTGCCCTGAATTCAAATTGGGATCACACACAACTGAAATGGTAGTGTATTATTTTATCTTTTTTTGATGCTTATTCATTTAAATCATGGTTAAAAAGTCACTCATACATCACACTCCAGCAGTTTGCTGAAGTGTGATGTATGAGTCATCATTATTCATTTCTCAGCACATTTTAATGTAAAAGTTTGTCATAATATGCATATATTTTGATAGATATATATTTATTAAATACCTACCTAAATTAGTTGTGTGTTTATAGTTTGAGACAAAAATGATTCTTATTTCAGGTGANCATGCTCCATTAAGGTCAATACACTTCTGCAAACATTGATACCTTTAACTCTGTCTGAGTAGAACTTGAGGGTCTTGTGATCTGAACCATGTCAGAGCAGCTCTTTTTACATCTTCAACTGATGAAAAATGGGTACCTTTCAGCGACTTATCCATTTGTAGGTTGTTGACTTCTTAGGAGCATTATCACCATAAACTTGTTCCAGAGCATCAATGATTTGCTTATTCTCCTAACCAAGTTTCACCATGAACTTTATGTTTGTTCTGGTCTCAACTTTGGTGGATTCCATGTTCCTTGAATGGTGCCTGAATTTCAACTGGTGATGCTGCATTCTTACCTGCATTTAAAGGTTCATGTTTGAACTTGTTATAACACATTGGTACAAGAATGTTCAGGTGCATTGAAATCAAAATCCTTCCAAACAATTTTTAGTTAGACTTTTTCCACAAACTTTTTGAAGCCTCCACGTATATTCCTATTTAATTAATTTTTTTAATATTAACTTAATTATTTACTTTACATTTCTTATAACATTAACTAATTGCACAGTTTTATTTTATATTATGAAAGAAATAATGAGACATCATTTTTTTGTTTAGATTATTTATTTAGCTGAATCTGACAAATTCAAAAATTTTTTAATACATTAATTTTTTTTATTGCACTTTTGACATGAATTAACTTTGCATACATTTCCTGGTATTGGCAATTATTTTATATTGAACTGTACCTGCAGATATAATTGGCATTGCCTGGACAAAAAGTAATAAAAGACACATTAAAATTAAAACCATACTACAAGTTTGGTAATTTTAAACAAACTCATTTCCTGGTACAGCATTATTTTGGCAGAGCTTCCAAATCCAGAAGTTCTTATAATTTTTACAAATTATCACTATGAATATTGTTCGTGGATTGTATGGTGCCTTCATTAATTATGCAATGATTAATTATATAATAATGCATTAAACTTAAATTATCATAAAGTGTTAAGAGGATGAAATTAGGGGATGTCCAGATTTTATTGTAGCTTATATTTATTTCAGGGTCTTAGAGTAGGATATGTATGAAAAATTTGGTCCAGATTGGTCAAAGGTTTAGAACTGTATGGGGCACATGCAGACAGATACTTTCTATTTTATATAAGCCTATATACAGTGATACCCCGAACTTACGCGATAGGTGGGACTGAGCGATAACCGCGTAAGTCGGGGTATAATTTCGCAATTTGTGTAAAACTCAAGTCGGATGTATGTAAGCTAATAAATGTTCTTGTTAATCTTATCTCGTCTTTTGATTCGTTCACGGTTAGAAGAAATCACCACATAGAATCTCTCGAGTCTCCGTAGATATAACAAACACAGAAATAAATAACACAAAATAAATTGTGGCTATGTGTCGATTCTGTGTGACACGTCTGAACATGTAAGCCGAACAATAGTGTGGGGGGATTGAGTAATCGAGAGTTGCTTGGCGCTCAAACAAAAGACGAACCGACGAGATTTGAAAATCGCGTAACTCCGGGTTCGCGTAAGTCGAGGTATTACTGTATATACTTTAATGGTAATGATCTTTGATTGGTTTGATTAATCAATAAATGAAAAATAAAACCACAGTAAAATGTATCTTTTACACTAGATACCTAAATTGGTGTTGCATGATTCATATGATACAGCAAACTTGAAGTGCAGATGATTTATCAAACATAATCATATAAAAATAGATAAAAATCATTCAGATAAAACTATAATTCAGATAATGATCATTCAGATTTTTATCTATTTCTCACTGTGAAAAATAAAGAAATGAATTAACTTCAGTTATTGTTTATTTTGAAATACAGTAATACCCCGAACTTACGCAATAGATGGGACCAAGCGATAACCACGTAAGTTGGGGTATAATTTCCCAATTTGTGTAAAATCCAAGTCGGATGTATGTAAGCTAATAAATGTTCTCGTTAATCTTTTCTTTTGATTCGTTTATGGTTACAAGAAATCACCACATAGAGTCTCTCGAGTCTCCGTAGATATAACAAACAGAAATAAATAACATAAAATAAATTGTAGCTATGTGTCGATTCCACACGACACGTCTGAACATGTAAGCTGAACAATAGTATGGGGGGGTGAGTAATCAAGAGTTGCATGGCGCTGAAACAAAAGATGAATCGACAAGATTTGAAAATCACGTAACTCTGGGTTCGCGTAAGTCGAGGTATCACTGTACTAAGTTTTAAGCTAAATTCACACTTTCACATGAAACTTACGAAGAATGAAACAAACACTAATTAAACAACTTTATATCATACTACATAACACAAAATGCATTAGAATGTGATTGATCAAAAACATTTTGAACAATAGTTCTGAAAAGTTGATTGGTGAAACTGAAGTTCGACAAAAAGTTGGATATTCTCAATTCCTATTGAATTGATCAAATAGTTCCAAAAAAGGATGAACTAGTAGTTCTGATCTATTTCATAGTGATTTATATGCCAGTGTGAACCTAGCTTTAAATTAATAAGTACTTTATATGAATGAAATGAATATTTTACTTTGTTATTGTGATATCCATATAAATATACTTTTTCAGAACATTCAGTGATGATTATTATTAATTTAAAAATAAGTATTATAAACTTTATGTTATAATCTATATATTAATTATTTTCAGAATTATAGTAATGGACAATATAAAAAAGTAACAATTAAATGTTGTGGAATTCAAATGTTGACATCATCTATAAACAATTAAACTACAAAAATAAAGCATATTATTTTATAATCATGAAATATTCAAAAGATAATAGTATAAGTGATAAAATTCTACATTATTAATTGTAATGAGTGAAAATAAAATTGAATTTTTACTAAAATTTTTATTTTATCACATAGAATATAATATATTTCTAATAATTCTTTAGTTTCATAATTTTACTTAAAATTTTTTATAACTGTCATTTTATTGTACAGGGATATAATGACAATATATAGTGACCCACCTCCAGGAATGTTTGTGGTACCAGATGATAAAGATCTTACAAAGGTTTGTTTTTATAAATGTTTGTAATTTACTTGACAGTAGTTATGTTACCAGAAATTTTTTTAATATTGGATAAACTTTTGACAGAAGTGTAATGATGTTTGCAATGATTATAAAGACATTTGTATTGTAATCAAACCAAACATCTTTACAGAGCATGAGATTGTATCTTTATTCTGATTAACTCATCTGTATTTATTTTGATATATTTTTATTTATTTGTTCTAACAATTTAAATATTTTCAATAACAGAAAGTATACAGCTTTAAGTTAAAAGTTTATTGATAGCATTTCTTAATGTAGAAAGTATGGTTGCTGTATGTTCAAATTCTGTGTGTAGCATCCTTGTAATCCAAAAAATGATTCTTGGTAGACGACCAAACAGCAATTGGTTAGGAAAACATTATGGTTTATTTAAAACAATTTTTTATTCAAATGCATTTCAGGTTGGTTTATGTTCCCAACCCCTCTTCAGTGCTGTAAAAAATACAAATCAAAGTAAGGTTCACGACATTGGTAAATATAACGTAAAAAAGTGGGGTTAAAATAAAGGAGTTAGAAACTAAATTTTTACTTAACGACTATCCTAAATCAAAATTAAACACATGGCAAAAACAATACTGGGAAAACAGATTTAATACGATATACAAATTAAACAAAAAATACAAAACCTTCCCATATATAAAAAACATTTTCGAGGGCTGTAATAAGATCCTAAGAAAAGACAATATCAGTTTGGCACCAACTTTGACCAACAAAATATCATATAGTATCCATTATAACATTAATAAACAACATAACAATAAACTAAATATTCTTAAAACTGTAGGAACAGTTTACAAACTTGAATGCAACTGTCATAATCCAAAAACTTACATCAGCAAAACAGGCCAGTTTTTAGGAACAAGAATTAAAGAACATGAAGCTGCTATCCACTTAAAACATAACACTTCCCCCTGGTTTAACCACACAAGTGACAATAATTGTCAAATTAATAAAAACAATATAAAAGTTTTACATTTAGAAAAAGACCCATACAAAAGGAAATTTAAAGAACACATAGAAATAAAAAAAACCCTAAAGATAACTTAATTAATATTTCAGAAGGCATGTCAATAGATCCCCAATGGTATAAATTAATAGAGTGCACCTCCATGCATTAAATATTGTTTAAAAGCACACCCTGTTGTACGGAATGTTAGGAATGAATTGGATAACTTTGCTTGTCAGTATACTGTTACTCTGTGAACACCAGATAACACCAATTGTCAGTTTTACTCTGCTCTACCTTTTGTCGGGAATAATTCATATTAACTAGTGATGTAATGAATATTCGGTTACTATTTGGTATTCGGCCTATTTGGCCTATTTTTCGCTATTCGGCCGAATACCAAATATTTAATCACTACTTGGCTGAATACTGAATACCTAAAAACAGGAGTAAGAAATAACAAAAACACAGTAAAAATTAATCATTTTGGTATTTAGATTTAATGTTATCGGGTTAGTGTTGTTTGTTTATATTTATTTATAACTTATAACATGCACAAAATAAAAAAAAAAAATAATATTAGTTACATTTATTCACAATTTATAATTACAAAGATCAGCACAAGTACACACATTCATTTGAGAATCGTCGCACACATCTGAGGGTCTGACCCTGCCTATTCTTTTTAAGCGCTCGTCTTTGCTCTTTCCTTTCTCTTTCCTCTATCTCTCTAGTCCACGTATGCCTATGCATACATCATAATACACGCTCATGATGCTTTCGATTTGTCACTTTTCCGTTTTATAATTACGTGATTCATAGCCTGGTGATAACGGAGAAAAGAGACAGATAGGACGTTGGTATATGTTACAGTTATGATTTCACAGATTCGAGACAGCTTGATAGCCCGAACGGTCCCAGGCTTTCTCCTGTGCACGCTAAGTGACTTTCATTACAAGCATTTAGCTTTCCGAAATCTATGACAACAATTGTTTGGCATTGACGGCCGCAAATTTTGCGCCAATAAGCTGCTTTGACTTGTTTGATTATGTTATCAACTCAATTTCATATTTATTTTCACATTTTCACTTTGTGGTTTTTCTCTGTTCTTTTTCCGTTATTTACACATGTAGGTCATTTCATTGTTGTCCACATTTGATATCATCATTTATCAGATACTGCCATGATGCTCTTGTCTGTCCGCTACAACTGTCAAGAATTAATGTGATTGGTGAAGTGTAGTGACAGCGGGCCAATAGAGAGCAGGGTCCTTGCCATAATGCGGTTTGTGCGCCAATTTTCGTACGTGCGTTAATCAAGCCGAATAATATGGCTGAATATTCGGCTATCAGCCACGCTCCTGGCCGAATATTCGGTATTCGGCCTGAAGCCGAATATACTATTCATTGCAACACTAATATTAACTGAAAAGGTAAGTGTTCATAGATACTCTAAAATGAATAATCTGTATTTATATTTTTTATATAAATGATGTGCTAAACAGCAATGATTTATACATTCTTCATATTATAGTGAATGGTCATACACCTATGTGATAAAAATATAGTAACACAATTTTAAGCTGTTCCATTATATGACATGTAAGTTTTTTTTATTTTTTATGTTATTGTTTTTTACCTTTCCCCTTTTTTACGTCATATTTACCAATGCCATGAACCTTACTTTGATTTGTATTTTTTACAGCACTGAAGAGGGGTTGGGAACATAAACCAACCTGAAATTCATTTGAATAAAAAATTATTTTAAATAAAGCGTAATGTTTACCTCACCAATTGCTGTTTGGTCATCTACCAAGAATCATTTTTTGGATTACAAGGACACTACACACAGAATTTATTGATAGCAGTTGATTAAAGGTTAATAGTGGAATGTTAAATATTAAAGGCTCCTATTATACAATTATTGATTAAATTAATAAAATGAATGATTTGGCTAGAGTTCAGAATAAAGAAAACAGGAAATTTAATAGTCAAGTTGTGTTTAAAATTGAATTGCCATATTTAAATTGTTCTGAGATTAATTTATTTATATAAATGTATTTTATATGAATAAAGAGAAAATTCTAAAAGGGTACTAAATTAGCAGTAAACCAGCTAAATTTTTTTGTCATTATTCAAATCAACAATTTTTATTTTTTTAGACATTCTTCTATATTTATGAATTAATGTTATCAATATGTAATAGAAACTGAACAGAGTAAATTCCTTTGTTTTTTCTTTCTTGAAAAGTAATATTACAGTTAATTATAGTACATATTTATATCAAGTATAATTTAAACATCACTATCCTGATACATTCACTGCTAAATTTGTTTATAATAAATTTTAATATGATAGAATTTTTTAATAACTAGTAAATTATTATTTTATTAGAATTACTTTTATGAGATATATTATTATTAATATATATATATTTTTTCATTAATATTGAAAGCATGCAAATTCTAAGATTTCATCAAATATTGCTGAAATTTTGTTTAATTAGATAAAACTGGTAAAACTAAAAAATACAACACCTTATTAATCCCAGCAATATTTAATAAGATAATAACGTTTTTGACTGTTTTAAACAGCCTTTATCAGTTAAACTACAGTTTAAAACAGTCAAAAACGTTATTATCTTATTAAATATTGCTGGGATTAATAAGGTGTTGTGTTTTTTAGTTATACATTATCCAGTAAGTTCTTTATTTATTTAAAACTGGTAAAATAATTCAAATACTTTCACACTGGATTAATCAAAATAGTATAACACACCTACAAAACCTCCAGGTGCTCAGCAATAAAATTCACAGATAAATGTAAGCAAACATTTTTGGGTTCCTTCTGAGCTCTGCTTCAGGTTTTCTGCTTTCTTTTAAATGGAATGTAAATTGAAATCAACATAGAATTTGAATTTAAATTCAAACATTAGTTTTGATTTATTTAAAATTTATTTTTTATTTTTTAGGTTCATGCATTGATTACAGGTCCATTTGAAACTCCATATGAAGGAGGATTTTTCTATTTTTTGATTCGATGTCCACCAGATTATCCAATACATCCTCCAAGGGTGAAGTTGATGACTACTGGTGAAGGAAAGATTAGATTCAATCCAAATTTATATAAGAATGGAAAAGTCTGTTTAAGTATTCTAGGGTAAAGACTTTTTTATAACTCATTTTATAAATTCCTTGAAAAATTAATATTATTATGTGTTTATTTAAACTTTTTATATAACAATATATATTTATTTTTAGAACTTGGGCTGGTCCTGCATGGAGTCCTGCCCAAAGTTTATCAAGTGTTTTAATTTCTATTCAGTCACTTATGAATGAAAATCCCTATTTTAATGAACCTGGTTTTGAAAAGGTGAGTGGAAATAACTGAATGTAATATTAATTAATAGTTAAAACTAGAAGAGGTTTTTCGCAGTTTCCATTTCTTAATATAGATTAATATGCTATTCACGCCAAGTAATATTAATTAATAGCATAACTATTTTAACTATTAATTAATATTACTTGGCATGAATAGCATATTAACCTATATGAATGTAATATTCTGTTTTATTTTTCATATTGAAATGGTATCTAATAAAATTTAATATTATTTATTAGTAGTCAAAATTTGGAATTTTATCAAATGTGAGATCTGAATTACCCCTGGAATTAATTAATAAATTGATTAAAAAGTTAAAATTTTTGTCGAAAAATATTGTCTGATTTTGGTGGGAAAATTATGTTTTTCTAAACTAGGGAAACTGATAAAAGTCACTTCCTGCAACGGAAAGTTGAAACATCCTTTTGTTTTCCCTTATCTACTAAAAATCTTAGTCACCCTGGGAATTGTAACCCCTCGATAAATCTCCCTTTCCTCTGGTCACGTGAGAAAATCCAAAAAGCTGATTGGAGAAACCTCATGAAATATAGAAAGAGTTTTGATTCGGGGATTGTGCCAAAAGTTCTCAAAGTGAGAAGACGTATTCCATATTGGCTCCCTAAGGCTGACGTCCTTAGTTAGGAGTTGCCACAAAATCTGAAAGAAGGAAGTCATATTCCATACCATCTCCTGAAGGCCAACGCCCAAAGTCAAATCCAGAAGATTTTATATAATGAGTTTAAATCAGTAAATAGGGAAGAAAATATTTAAATATGTGCCATTCAAGACCTATTCAAGGAAGAACTATAGTATAAATCCAAAGGACAGAAGAAAATAAAGTTACCCCAAGGTAGTATGATTATGATAGAAATTGTGAGCTCTCTCTCTCGAAACAGTTTAATTCGAAAGTCTCGAAAAAGCTTTATTTGAATTTTCTATTTGCATAATTTTGTTTTGTTTCATTAAATATTTGTTTATAATTGTTAAAAGAATGTCTCTCGAGTATCTGAATCAAAACGAAGGGTTTATCTCTGTATCATCTTCACATGCGTGTTAATCTGCGTCTCACAAAATTGATTAACTGGTGTCAGGAATCCTGACGGAAGGAAGAGGGTGATTACACAATCATCTAATTCCACTAAAAATAACGCTCTCCTAGAAAAAGTAGTGATCCAGTTTTGCGATTGTGTGCCTGTAAGTGACATAGATCAACTGTCTATGCCCTTGGCCACTCACACAAATGTTATGCAAAGACAAAAAACTTAAGAAATTTAGAAAAATTTGTTTCATTGTTGACATCATTTATATATCAAAACTAGCAGATGATAACTTTGATAGCTATAGTGGCTGATTATGTTATGTTAGATTGGATTCTCAAAGATCAATGATTTCAATTTTGTGTTGGCAAATACATGCATTTTACCTTTTGATAATTATCGTTAGTAATTATCAAAAGGTAAAATGATAGATTCAAAGATAGATTTTTATGTCAAAAAATCAAATTTCAATGCTATAATAATAATATTTTAAAAATGTCTCTTGATATTTGAAAAAGTATAGGAAAAACTCATGTTAAAAAAGTTATTTCAACATATTTTTACATGTAGTATTGTTTAGTTACAGGCCACTTAAAAGCATGTTTTTAGTATTATCAAAAATAATAATAAATTATATAATGAAAAATAATGGAATTTTGTGTGGTGAAGAAAAAAGTTTAGTTTAAAAATTTGCCACTAAGGAGATATGCATCACAGATCTCCTTAGTGGCAAATTTTTAAACTAAACTTTTCATACTGCTAGTAAGAGATGCAAATTACAGTAAGACCTCATTTAATGCTACCTCAATTAACACTGGTTCAATATAACACAGTCTGCTTGAAGCCTAAGGAAAAAAGCTCAAAATTTACACTGATTGAAATTAACACAGCATTTCATTGATTCATATATAATATGATTATTCCCAGATGCAAACCAATCAGCAAAAGGTGGCAATTCATCCTGGTGCTGTACTTTCCTTAATCTATGTTTGTTCGGTGCAATTTTGGAAAAAATATAACTTCTTGGATGCCATAGGCAATATCAACTTTGCTTGGCAAGAATTAACTGATAAATGCATGAACTGAGTGTGAAAGAAGGTATGGCTGGAGGTATCCAAGAATTCTCAATGAATAGAGCCTATCATTGACCAAATTGTCAACTTAATTGATACAGCAGGACTAGATGTAGACAAACAGGATATTGAAGAGTTACTGCAGCTTTCTGGTGAGGGAGAGCCTTACCAACAATGACCTTCAAGAACTGGCAGAACAAGGAATTTGTGTAGAACTGGAAAATAGTGATTCTGAAAATGAAGAACCCAAAGAATATCTGTACAAATTTCCTTAGTAAAAGTTTGGTAATGATAACCAAAATTGTTGATCAAATTGTAGCAAATGATCCAACTTTTGAAAGGAGTGTTTTTGGATGCGATTTCCTGCTACTGACATTTGCTTAGTAAAAGAAAAAAAAGCAACAAATGACACTAGACAACTTCATTGCAAAAAAATTAAGAATTTCAGAAGAGCCAGAACCTTCATCACTAAAAATGAACTTTACATTTCTGTGTGCATATGTTTGTGTTATCTATACTAATATTATAAAGAGGTAATGTTTGTAAGTAAGTTTGGATGTAGCGGTAATCTCCAAAACTACTCATCCGATTTTCAAAATTCTTTTGCCAATATTTAGAATGGAACTTCAGGGTGGACATAGGCTGTATATTATTCCATTAAACATTCATATAAATTAAAAGATATAATCTAGGTTAAATATACTTTTATTTCCAACAGATGGTGCTACGAGTACAACGCCCTAAGTTTGCTTTTCTGTGAAAATGAACTAAAGCAGATCATCTTTTATCTATCTGTATAAATAAAAATACAGTATAATATTCATTTGTTCCTACTGATTCCTTTGAAATTTTGACACAATGCTGCATTCGAATATGCACGTGTTTTTATATAATATACGTGTCGAAATTCCCCCCACTGAAGGGAGATGGTTAGGATTAAGGCTTACTGTAAAGAACTCTGCTTCTATTTATAGTATTTTAGATGTGGTTTTTTGCATTTTTGATTGCGTTTTAATAGGGTACATCAAGAGAATGTACACTAAGAAGACATTTTTCGAAAAATTCCCCCAATGGGGGAAGTGTTATACATTTATAACAGATACATTTTGAGCCACAACAACGCGTGGCGGGGTCTGCTAATTTAATATATATTATTATGCAAATTAATATAAAAATAACTTAAAATTAAAGTAAAATCTGTTTATTTTTGGTCACGTGTGCCTCTTTCCCTGTTTAGTCTGTGTTAAAATGACCTCATTTTAATGCTTTTTCATCTAGGAATGTATCCCCTGCATTAAACAGGGTCTTACTGTACTTATAGGTGACATGCACACATCACAGGCATTTTGGAAATAACAGGATAATCAGCCACCATTTTCCTGTAACATAGCCAGCACTCTCATCAGACCTGAACCCATGTGATTTTTGGCTTTGTGGACAACTAAAGAATGTTGTATTTAGTGAACACGTTACAAATTTAGCAGAACTGAAAGCCAGCATCACACATCATATCCACAACATTGCTACATAAACACTCAGATCTGTTGTTGAACATGCTATTTTGCAAATTCAGTTTGTATCAGAATACAAAGGACAACATATTGAACATTTGTTATGTCACTTGCAAAATATTCTTTACTTTGTTTTGCTGTCCATCGTAATAAAGCATGACTTGTCCCCCTAAAGGCAAAGTTTTGAACTAAATTTTTTTCTTCACTAAACAAAATTTCATTGATTCATGGGTATTCACACAAAATGTCAAGACATTCTGAGTAGTGGTTCTTATTTCAGACCATTGTGAAATCACAACTTAATCACCTTGTATACAGTGGTGTTGAAAATCCAGACAAAAAATCTGGATTCAGCCATTGAAGAAATGGACATTAACCTTTTCAATAGTAAATCCATTAATAATAATTAATATGACAACCTTATTCTTCCAGCACAATTATTTAATAGATTGACACATTTTCTGGCAGATTCATGAAGTTGGACAGTAAATCTGCCCAAAAACATTTGTCATTCTATTAAATAATTGTGCTGGAAAAAAACAAGATTGTCATGTTAATACTTCAGAATAATTCTCAATATAGAAACTGTGTACAGAATGCAGCTTTTCCTTGTATTTGTTATAGCTGGTGAATAATTGTTTAGATCAGGGGTCGCTAAAGTGGTTGATATCGACCCCCAGGGGTCGATTGAGGGGTTGATACGGCTAAGGGGTCACAACCTTTTTTTTTCTTATACAGAGACCACAACGTTTTTTTTTTTTTTTTGCTCATACACATACACTTGTAATAAAACTTTACGGTGGGGGGTCAATGTGAGGCTTTGGAAAGTGGTTGGGAGTCGACGGTTAAAAAAGTTTTGTGACCTCTGGTTTAGATATTCCTATGATATATACAGGGCATTATAAAAGAAGTGATAGCATTTTGCTTTTACATAATTTTTGATGAAACATGATAAATACATATCTTTTTTATCAATAGTTTATTCATTATTTCAATTGTATGTGGAATAAGATAGTGGCCAAATGGTCATTTCCAGCTGCTGTACAAATGTTCAATTTTTTCAACAACATTTTTCATAACATTTTCACATGTTTCTTGTGTTGTTTGTTGAATTATGTTGACAAGTGTTGTCCTTCAGCTGCTCAATTGTGACTGGCTTGTTTGCATAGACTTTTAGCACTTCACTTGACTTCATGTTCCATCTTGATTTGTTTTTATGCCACTTTTCTGTCCACTGAATACAACAAATACTTAATTTTAGCATTGTCGTAGCCTATTTGTTTATGCTGAAACTTGTCAGGAAGGTCTTCACAACTTGGAAATAATAATAAACTTTCTACAAACCTATAACCAGCGTGAAATATGTTCAATTGCTTACGCTACCTATTTCACGCTGGTTATAGGTTTGTAGAAAGTTTATTATTGTATTCTTCCGGCGTGTGTCGATTATTTATTTATACATAGTGAACTTGGAAATACTCAATAGACTGCTAAATTTTGGCACTACACTTAGATCAGCGTGAGAATGTTTACTAGGTGGTTCCTCCTCAATTGTATCAGCCTGCTGACTCTCTTCCTACAATTCTTCAATTGTACATATCCCAGATATAACAAGTGCATCATTGAACTCTACAAATTCCCAGAAACACCCAAATATTAACTAAAAGTTGAACAAACATGAAGTTTACAATAGATGGGCTAGAAAAAAAATCCATTGTTCTGAGTTATGGATTCACTAAAATGAGCTAAAATGACATTGATTTGATTTGATTGATATGTTAAAACAAGATTCTATGATTCTACTGTATGTGTAAGTAAAGAAAAAGACCTTCTTAGCATCCATAGGATGAGAAGAGTCAATAAAAAAAAAAAAAAAGGAAAAATTTAGCCATTAATCATTTAAGTATTACAGAAATTTTTTAGATTATTCCATGTTTCAAAATGTAAAGTAATTTTTAAAATTTAATATATTAAGTAATTTGTTTATTTTCATAAATAATAATAATGATGATAAAAAACATTTTATAAAATAAAGAAGAAATACTGAGAATATTTTGTTTTAAGTCTGAATTTTTAGAAAATTATTTACTTCTATTTTTGATGATGATGATGATTTTTAAAAAAAATCTACTATCTAGATTTTTATTCAATAATATGCTATTAATTACTTGGATTTTCTCCATCCAAGTAATTAATAGCATATTAATGTTAATTTGATTTTAATTTTAGGAAAGGCACTCTGGAGACAGCTTACAATATAATGAAATAATTCGTCATGAAACGTTAAGGGTAGCTGTCTGTGATATGATTGAAGGTACCACTGGTGACACTTTGAACTGTCCTCAACCATTAATGTAAGTTAATTATTTTAAATACATTTATTCAAACCATCTTATAAGTAGTGTGTGCACACAAAAATATTATAAAATAATTATCTTCCAATAAATGAAAAAAATATTCAAAATAAACAGTGTATTTTCCACTAGTTGTTTAATTATGTTAGTTGTTTATCATGATTACTTGTATAATAGATAAAGATAATTAATACATAAAAAGTTTTCTATTACTTTCCAAAGGAATCTAATAAATTAATTAATTCAATATGCATTGTTTGCTGTAAATTCTATTTTTGTAGGAAATAATTTATTTACCATTTCTTTCACCAGAGAAATAATGGAAAGGTCATTTCCAGAATTTTATGATTATTACAAGAATACAGCACAAAGCAAACTTCATTGGACTAATCAAAAAATGATGGTGAGTTATATTTAAGTTGTTATTGTTATAATTATTAATAACCAAATTTTTTGTCATTATTTTTGAAAATGGATTTTACTTTATGAAAGGTGTTTTTCTGACCCAGTAGAGACACAAATCTAAACAATTTTAGGATAAGAAAGTAAAAGTATATGCTATTGGAGTTAACATTTACTTCATCCTCCTTATCACATTAATGGGATTATTCAGTCACTGTTTTGTCAGTAGATGGCATTGCTACTTTTAAGAGCATGTTAATAGTTCACAGCTTTTATATATAATTCAGCTTTACTAAAAGGAAGAAAAATCTCTTCAATTTAATTACCCTAAAGATTTGTGTTCCTATTGTGGATGCATAGTTCTCCAATGATACGAATTTTTGAAAAATATGATAGAATCTATTTATTGTAATTACAAATATCTGTATCAGTTGTTCAATGTTAGAATTATCATGCCTGAAAATGAAGTTAAGATACACTTTGCTTATTGTAATCAAAATTTTGGCATCTGGAAGAAATTTTATTGAATTTATCTATTACTTTTTTAGAAGAATAACTGAAATTTAGGTAATAATTGCTTTCAGATTAAATCATAGACAGTGTCACAAAGAATAGAGCAGTTATTACACTGACTGATAAAAACATTAGAGACAATGATGATGGGAAGTGTATGCTGGCATCTCCAAGCAAAGTTTAATCTACTCAAACCAAACTCAGATTATATATATATATAGGTTAGTGTTGGACAGAATATTTAACTTTATTAGTATTTGAGTATATTTAGCCGCAAAGTAAGTATTTGGTATTTGGACTGAATACTTCTTCAAAGCCAAAATATTTGGCCAAATAATGTCATTTTAGTTTGGGGACAGAAAGAGAAAGGAAAAGATAAAACACAAAATAGAAAGAAAATATTTAAAATCTCAGATATAATTTAAAATATTGTGATTTTTTTTTCTTTCCAAAACAATCTAACATTAATAAATGATCTTGAGCAAATATTACTTGTTTACAATTTATTACTCTTTAATTAAGATTATTATGAAGAAAGATTAATGCTTCTTCATTCATAGGAAGTAAGTGATTTTGTTGGTCACCATAAATACTTCCAGCTTTACTGAACATATTGTATGTTCACTAAATACATTACTTTGTGGGATGCCAAAAAATGATGAACCTTAATGGCAAGATTTAATTTTTTACTTTTTATTACATAATAATCATTTTTAAAAAATAAAATGTATATATCTTTATTGTTGAATAGAAACACTGTCCTCCAACTTATTCTAAGATTTAGATTCTAAACCTTCTGTTTCAGGCAGTTCAGCTAATATGTGTTTGAATATTTGGCATTTAGTAATCAGAAAGGCAAAAATAATTGGTATATTGCAACAGAAATATCTGAATGATTACGAGGGCTGTTTGGAAAGTTCGTGGCCTTGCCTATATGTGGCGTTGCGATCAATTTAATTTTTGGCGGGAATAATTCAGTCATCTGTGCTAGAGATACGATACCAATTTCCGCTTGATTTGTCAAAAAGTTTTGCCACGACAGCTTAGCAGATAGTCAGTGTGCACACGCTTTGTCAAAAATGGAGAAGACGGAGACTCGTGCGATCATAAAATACCTGACGAAAAAAGGTTGACCCCATCTCAAATCAAAGCTGACATGGATGAAGTTTTGGGAGAGTCTGCTCCTTCGTACACCACTGTGAAAAAATGGACAGCCCTTTTTAAATCTGGCAGAGAGAGTGTGGAAGATGACCCTCGCAGCGGACGGCCGTCAACTGCTGTCACTGAAGAAAACATCGACAAAGTTCACGATTTGGTATTAGCAGATCGCCGTTTGAAAACGCGTGAGATAGCTGAGACAACAGGCATCTCTGTCGACCGAGTGCACCACATCCTAACCGAAAATTTGGGTATGACGAAGGTCTCAGCAAGGTGGGTGCCGCATCTGCTGACCGCCGAGCAAAAACGTGTTCGCACTTTGATGTCAAAGGAGTGTTTGGACTTCTACCAGAAAAACCCACAGGATTTCTTGCGTCGGTTTGTGACTACTGACGAAACGTGGATCCATTACTACACTCCTGAAACAAAAGAACAGTCGAAGCAATGGAAACACCACAGTTCGCCACCACCAAAGAAGGCAAAGACAGTTCCATCAGCGGGTAAAGTGATGGCCTCGGTTTTTTGGGATGCTAAAGGCATCATCTTTATTGACTACCTAGAAAGAGGAAAGACCATTAATGCTGTCTATTACTGTGAACTTTTGGAAAAACTGAAGAAAGAAATCGAAGAAAAGAGGCCACACTTGAAGAAGAAAAAAGTTCTGTTCCACCACGATAATGCACCTGCACATTCCGCCAGAATCACTGAACAAAAGATAAACGAACTTCGCTTCCAATTAGTTCCACATCCACCGTACTCACCTGATTTGGCCCCCAGTGACTTCCACCTTTTTCCAAACCTAAAAAAATTCTTGGCTGGAAAGAGATTCCACTCAAATGACGAAGTCATCTCTGAAGTGAACGAGTATTTTGCACACCTTGACAAATCGACCTATTGTGATGGCATAAAAAGTTAGAACATTGCTGGAATAAATGCATTGCTAACAAAGGAGCCTACATTGAAAAATAAAAAAGTTTTAACATTATTTTGTTTATTGTTCTATTTGAGGCCGTGAACTTTTTGAACAGCCCTCGTATTTGATATTTGACCAAAAACCTCTATTTGGTTTATTCCTAATACTTTAATACAGGCAAACATCTAGCCTTTTTGACAGTATCACAATCGATTAAAGTGGATAAATGTGGCAACCTTAGTGATTTTGATTATGGACACATTGTTAGCACAACATAGACATGTCATTTTCTCTGAACCGACGATAACCTCAGGGTTTTCCAGACATACCATCCATGGATGTACCAATGAACAAACAGTGAGACTAATCACCTACACCTTTTTGTGGCCTTCATTCATTTTCAAGGGGATGGCATACTTCTGAAAGACAATGCATAGTTCAGAGAACATTCATTGGAGTCCCAAATCATCCAGTGATCTCCAGGGTTCCCAGTATTAAGTCCAATTTACTCTCTCTGGAATGTTGAGTGACATGGCAGAGCCATGAAGCCGATGCTGATATTTATGGTGGAATTGCAGATAATGGTGCACAGGGACTTCCAGCAATTCTCCAGTATTTGGTGGAGTCAATACTCAGCATGTTCAGGCTGTCATTCATGTTGGTAGAGGATTTACAAACTATTAATATGTCTCTAATGTTTTGATCAGTCACTGTATATATATATATATGTGTGTGTATGTGTGTGTGTAAACAGAAATTACTGTTAACGGAACCAATCCAAAAAAAAAAAGTATTGATAAAACTGTTAACAATTTCATAATACATTATCATTTCCAGTATTATAGCATGTCAAACCTGTTAACTGTAATTTGAACAGATTTCACTAAGGTTAATTGATTTTATCTGATTTGAATGTCACCCATCTATCAAAATTTCATTGATTTTAATAGTGAAATCTATCTTTATTGTCTAGTAACAAATAATTATTTTTTATGAAAACAGTAGTCAATAATATTACTAATATAAAAGCTGCTGTGTGTGTGAATTCTTTATAATTCCTGCAAATTTTGTCCAATCAAAATGAAATGAATATAACCAAAATTTTATGTTCTGACAGAAAGTATAGGCTACTTATTTTGCAGAAATATTAGCTATAGAATAAACGTTTTATCGAGTTTGGATCTGCGATCACACTTACATTGTAGTGATGTCGGTGACCTCACTTAGTTCACGTTTGATGAGGGAATTTAAACTTTATAAAAAGATAGCCTCATTGTGTCACTTATATAACAAATTTTAAAAAAATCTTTCCATAGTTATCATATGATATCTTATTATCCAGTCAGAAATAACAATCTAACGAGCTCATTATTTAGAAAGTGTTATCTCTCATCTAACTAACATACATACAGTTTATCTTTATTTTATCAATGTGGAATTAAGAAATGGCTTTGTCAAGAGCTGCAGAAACAGCATCACATCAATCATCAAAACAATATTAAACTGTCTATTACTAAAGGAAGACAGCAAGGAAATCTTTTAAAAGACAGTGAAGTGTTGTTTACTCAGAATGCAATGTATAAAAAAATTTTATAAAGAAAGATTTTATTATTATTATTATATAAAGGCCTAAATCTGTTTGTGTATGTGTAAGTGAATTCTTTATCACTCCTACTATTTTTGTCCACTCCAGGTGACATTTTGTTTTGTTGCTTTTTATGTTACAACAGATGTTAACATTTCTATAGATTAAGTAGTTTAACAACTCTACAATATCTTGGAATCTACTTTCTCATAAAAAGTATTTTATCATGCTTGACTGGGGAATTTCTAGTGTTCATATAATTTATATGTAGTATCTGGACTAAATAAACTTCACTTAATGCAGAGAATTTAATATGAGGTTTTTTTGGTGAATGCATTCCTATGCCTCTATTTCTTTTAATAGCAATATGAAATTAATGGTCACTTCCTGGTAACTAATTTCTTGACACTTGTCACTTTTTTAAACTATTTCCTTAATAAGTTTGTTCTGACCCTATGATTGTAAATTGCAGGTAGTAAATTAAAACATTCTGAGTTTAATTACTGATGTGAATCTCTGCTTTGCTGAGATCCACATCAGTAATGATCTCTGCACAGTACATACAGTTGACCTTTGATATGCCACCAAAGATTGGAAAATTAGAAAAGTCAGAAAGTAGTAACTGACAGTGTGATATTAGAATTTCAAAAAGACTACACAAACTGCTTACAAGTTGTAACCACCAAATTGATGGAAAAGTTGTCATTGAAATACAAATTGACCAAGGGACTGTCATGCTAAATCCAGCTTATGCAAGGAATAGAGAGCACAAAAACTGCTAGATATTACATTAGAAACTCTTATGACTAATAACTGGATAAATGGTTCTACAGCTGATAAAATGTCTATATTGCTTAGTAGTGTTGTCATCCCCAGGAATATGGAATAGTGTTTAAATTAATTAACCATATCACTGACAGCATGATAAGTTTGATTGATATGGCTGACTAAGCCAGAAAGAATGTGGTGAAGTAAAAGAATTTGAAACATTTTTGAAGTTGATTTAATAATGTCCCATGGTAATGCTCATATGGAATGTGGATTTTCCATCAACAATGAATTGAATGCTAAATGAAAAACCAAAAAGAGACATTTGTAACTTACAAAAAGTACTGTACATGATATAGTCACGACTGCTAGTGGATTGGAAAATTGGATATATCAAAGTAGTCGATTCATGCAACTTTGAAATGCAATTCAGAGATATATAATATACAATCTTCTGCACATTTTGAAGCAAAAATACAAGAATTCATTAATAAAAATGAAAAAAATTAACCATGCTTTGTAATAAAGGAAATGAACAGCTTTACAACTGCAAGTTTCATTTGGTAGCATGAAATAAACTGAATTATTTTTAATTTTTGCAGCAAGTTGTTTTCAGTCAGTCAGGGAAAAATGCAGGTTTTCCTCTTAGAAATCTCAGGGAAATTGAAAATCATTGGACACCCTGAATGAAGCAAAAAATGTTTATTATATTTGTGTGTTAAGATATTAAATAAAGTACAGTTTTTTTTCTGCATACACTTCTTTAAATAGATTTTTATTGTTTTAATCACTTGTCAAAATTAAGTAAGATAAATTTATTATATTTATGACTATGACTTTAATTATACTATTTTAATTCATATGTTTCAGTACATAATGTCAGTTTTTTTCAGTTTTGTAAAAAAATATTCTATTTATTTATATTTAAAGTTTTGATATTGTAAGTAAATTTTAGCCATAAAAATAAAAACTAGCAGTGATAATTTTAATTTGTTGGAGGAAGCTTTGTTGTATTGTTTTGGTAGACATATGATGTCTACCAAAAACCACTGGTCAAATATTCTCTGAAATATGGTTTCTCTTAAAACCATTATTTACTGTAAATTATTTTCCCTGATTTTAAGTTTCATGAAATGTAGTAAATTATGATTGTGTCCTTTTTTTATAAAAAGATTAATACAAATTTGATTCCCACTGTTGTTATGGCTATAAATAAGTATGTATTTAAGCTAGTGCAAAAAATTATAGAATTTGGTTAGGAAAAAGATGGTTACCAATATTTAAAAAAATAAATCCTGAATTTGATTACAATGCAATATTTACTGTATCCAAAATATCATTTTCTCAATAAAAAAAAAATACCATCTATAATGGTAGGGCTTCTTAAGTTATTAGGATACTTTTAACCAAAGGAATGAATGGATGATAGGCTAGGCTTGTAATAGGAACAATATGGTATTTTGTGTAATTCTTCGAAATATTTATTACTGTCAAATTTATTGCAAGATTCAGAATTTTATAATAATGACAAACTTCCTTATAAACTAATTGGGAACCACTGATGTTTATCAGTGGTTCCCAATTAGTTTTTCCTGCATACCACTTTAAGAAAGAGCTCAAACTCGCATACCCCTTATAGCAGAAATTCATATTAATCTATACTATTATTATAAATTCAAAGATAATTCTGTCTGTCTGTTACCTTTTCATGTCTAAACCGCTGAACAGGTTTTAATAAAATTTGGCATAGAGATAGCTTACATGTTGGAGATGGACATAGGCTACATTTTACTGCAAGAAAATATCTTACTTTCACGAGAAAATTCGATATAATGTGGACGAAGCTGTGGGTAGTGATAGAACTCTAGTGATAAATAGAATAAGTTTATTTTACATTTATTACCTTTAAAATACAATTCTAATAATAATGAAAATAACATAAGGTTATTTAATTTTAATGTGACAAATGTGTACGATTTTCTTTGCACAACTTTGTAAAATCTGGTTGCTTTTTGGTCAGCTTCAGTCTCAAGTCATCTTTGAGTTGAAGTTGATGATGATGTTTAGTTTTCATGTTTGTCATGGCCAAAAATCCGCTCTTGCAGAAATATGTTGTGCAAAATGGTAGTAAATATTTTATTGCTGCTTTGCTGACATGATAAATGTCTTTTAGGTCAGCCCAAAAATTACTCTGCAAAACAACTCGAGTCTGCTATTGCATGAAATGTCTATTAATTCTTCTTGGTCAGAGATGGGAAGGTGGTCGGTGGAGTTATTTGCAACAACAAAAAAAATTTTCAAAATTTCGCAAAAACAAATTGTGTTAATTGTATAATTTTTGTTTCTTGCGTATTGTCATTTAGGTATTGTCGCAAATGCATTTTTGGATGAAATTTCGAGAATATTTTTAGTTATAAATAAAACGAATTTGTGCATTTGACATCATGTTGTAAATTGCCAAATTTTTGATGGTCCACTCATTAATTTTTTTATTGCTTCATCTCATGCATTTAAATTTTAAATCGACCAATTTTAGATTGCCACGCATACCACTAATTGGGAACCATTGGTCTACATAAATGTCATTTAATTTTTTCACTGAAATTACATATTTGTATAAATAATCATCATTACTGTATGTTCCTGTACTAACATGTTTGAGATTATAACAATAAATAAATTTTAATGTGATCAATGACTACATAATTTTCTAGTCAAACTATTTTAGAATGCATGATATTCCTGGATAACATAGAAATAAAGAAATGATGTTGTAGAGCAGGGGTGATCAACATGTCAATCACGATTGACTGCAAAGCCAATTTGGTTGATCGCTCACAATGTCTTAACTTAATATGTTATACTTGTAACTGAATGCAATGTGCAAACACAATTGTAGTGATATTGGACCTCCACATCCTCCCTCAGATGCAGTTTTGTCAGTCCACTTGCAATCCATTTGCATACAGTTGTAAAAGGGGAATAAGAAATGTAGACAAAGGGTCATAAAACCAAAAAAGAAAGGCAGGAAGAGAGACAGAGAGTGTAGGTTGGGACACAGTAGAGAGAGGAAGGGTGAAGTGGTGGTCCCCAAAAGTGACAACGTTGAGTTTCAATTTTTCTTCTGTTTAAAATGTAAGTACCTTTTTATGTTTTAAATTAAAATATAATTTTATTTTAATTATCTAAACATAATATGTATTTCATACCTCCCCTTGCCACTTAGACTATGCTTATAAGTCGATTGTGACACATTTTTAAGATAAAAAGTAGATCTTCTGTACACAAAAGTTGGCCACCTCTGATCTAGAGAAAGTACAGTTATCAACCCAGTCCCTAAGTGGTTCAGGCAACAAACAGATTCATTAGAATGTTTGGAAAGTTTTTCAGATCTTTCAGCAAAATTCCTATAAAAAGCAGGGTCATCTTATATTTGTTGTAATTTAAGGAATTTTAACTGTTCTCTCTTTTATAGGATCCTTTTGGAGAGAAACGAGGATGTTTTGATTATAACTCTATTTACCAACGACTGCAGGCCATCAAAACAAAATTGGATGAAAAGCAAAAATCTCAGTTGCCGCCTGCGGAACAGGATTCGCCAAGCGACAGCTCCGATTCGTTCATGTTATGAAGCACGCATCACCACATTCCAGACTTATTTTTGCAATAGATTGATCTGTTTTATTTCATTTGTGTTCCAGTGGAATACAAAACTTTCAAGTTAATCCAAGTTTATTTATTAAGTGATAGAATATTTAAACAATAAACTGTTCCAAAACTTTATTAAACATTGTACATGTAATGTTTTTATTTCACTTCAGTCTCCAACTCTCCACATTCATAATTAACAAGAAATAGTTCAACCTAGAGACATTCCAAATAAATTACCTATTTGTGCTTATTTTTCAAAAGGTAGTAATGAAATAATTAGTGTGTGAACATAATTACATGATTTTTTTTATAACATAGAAAATTCCATGTATTTTAATAAATTATAAATCTTATATTTTGAATATAATGCATGTAATTATTAAAAAATAAATGACTTAAAAATTCTAAACATGCCAATGGAGATTTTGTTAAAAAAAATTTCTAATTTCTACAAAGATTAACAATTTATTTCACATGATGAGCTGGATGATGGCGAATACAGTTTATCAATTCCGTGGGTGGTATGTCCTTTCTGCAGATTCGATGTATGGAATAGAATAATGGAAATCTATAAAAAAAATTGATTGTTAATAACAATGATTTATAATATCTATACATTTATTGTTAATCTTTATAGTCAAGATTTTATATAATTGTAACACAGGATGAATTTAAATTTCCAGCAAGTCACTTATTAAAAAATAATTTAAATCAGAAAATATAACAATTTGTAACTTTGATATTTTCACATATTTAAGGATAGAATTTTAGTTAACAAATATTTTCCAGATTCATGAAAATCTTCAAAACTTGGCACCCATATTTAATAAAAATAAAAGTATGGTTAAATTAAGGCAACCAAAAACTTTTTAGTCCAAAAATATTTCTTGCATATTATTTCACCATCCAACTGCAGCGTACACATGTTTTGAAATTGAATGTTGGAGTCTAATTCCAAAATCTTCAAGCAGATGAAGGCAGCTGGTTACCAGAAATCTGTGTATTAGTCAATTTTTACCTGAAAATGCTGTGTTTATTTGAATTTATCTCAGATTATCCTTAGAATATTGGCCTTAGAGGAATTGCATCTTTTGGCTAATTTGTTCCCAAGGCTGAAGTATAGGTCTTAAATGTTTGGTCAGATTGAGAATAGATGACTGATAGAAATATGTATGATAGTCTTAATGGAAACATGTCTCTCATTAATATTCAAAACCTGATTTCATGTTTATTGCTAAGTAACACTAGAGGATAAGGAATATTGTAGTATAAAGACAATTCCAGTTTCTATTAAACGTACACAGAGAACCTCTTATCACATATCCTTTTCCATACCACAACAGATTCTATTTGAAATGAATATATTCATATTATGCTGCTTTCTTGCTCTTCAATGCTTCCAGACCTAATTTGTCTATTATTAGAACATAAACCAAATCTTCATCTATCACTGAATATGGATCTCTGAATGAGAGTGTCTTAGATTATTTTTTGTCACATCATTTCTATCTGCTTTGCAAAAATGAACAGAATTTACTAGGAAGACATTACTAGAGTTTTGATCTAGTTGCTGAGTTAATTACAGAAGTTTTATTTATTCTGTGAGATGATTATGGCATAAGAATCAAGCTATAATATGAGGTTTCTGTGGACATTTATTAAAAGATAAATGATCTTATGGGACTGTTGATCTTGCATAGCACTCAAGTCTTTCTTCAACAACACACAGTTACAATTTTCATTTTACAATGCGATGTGACTTTACTCCCACATCTGTTCAGCAGAATTCTGTTACATGTGATGTAACAGAGAATGTTTGTTGTTATTTCTTTATTGATAACCCACCTTTATTGCATGTCAAATTTTAAGTGCAATTAACAATAAAAATACTTTAATATATGGACTGTTCTACATGAATAGTTTGACAGGCTTATGCTCTGCAGATTTATTCAGCATGGAGTGTTTTTCACTGTTGTATTTGGAACCATATGAATTACAGTAGAGCGTCATTTATCCAAATCAATTGGGGACTGGGGTTGTTCAGCTAACTGTTTATGTACGAAAAAATATATTAACCTATCCCGTGTTGAAATTTTTCTCCGCTGCGTGTCACTTCATGTTGAATTTTCATCAATGTTAAGCCTAACGTAAACTTTTTAAAATAATAATCGTGGCTATTGTATCGTTAAAAATGATTTCTTTTATTTTTACAAACGAAATAAATACATTGAAAAATATAAAAACAAAAATTATACTTTAGGCCGACTGGAATTCTTTTGGATAACCGACGTTCTACTGTAATATCAATTCACACACAGATTTAACAAATGTTTAACAGTAACATCAGATTTCTCTGTACATTATTTGTGATCACAGGGTAACAACCACCACTAAAAGTGTAGGAGCATGCATCTCAAAGGGGGATGCAGCAACCCCTAGTTCATAGGAACAAACTTGCTTGTATTGACCTCTCTACCACCTATTTCTTTTTGTATGTCTAATTTCTTAACATCTCATATCAATAAATTTTATATTTCAAATTCTGTAGATCAATTATTAGCAAGACTTGCATTATTGTAGACAATTTCTCAATCTTAAACTTCTTTTCCAACATCAGAGTTACAAGATATAAGGAATGTTTTTGAAAAGTAGATGTTATTCTGGTGGCATTACTATAAACTTTGTTTACAGGACTGAAAATTGAAATACATTAATATATTTCAATTTCCAGTCCTGTAAACAAAGTTCATAGTAATGCTGTCAACATATAATATTGGAAATAACAGCAAAAGTAAACAATTTGATTACAGCACATTTTTCAACAGATCTATATGGAAACAATTATTTTGATGAACATTGCCATAATCCAAAATATTACATTATTATATATTCAAAAGTAACTGATAATTTTATTTGAAAAATGCATAATAGTTATTGACTTCAGTATCTGTTATTTTTAATTCAATTTATATAACTCAACAGAAGAAAAGATTAAAATTTTTAATATCCTCTCTCATTTTTCTTAGAAACTTCATTTAACTCAGAGTAATCAGATTCTAAGATCAGTTTTAAAATTTAATTTTGTATACTAAATAGTTTTTTGGCATTTAATCAAAGCAATTAAAAAGATAGTGAAATAAATCTCAATGTGAGAATGTATCTTTCTCTGATGTCATTTAACAAATTTGAAGATAGTTTAAATATTTCAAAAGATTCTCTTTCTTCCTTTCATATTTTTTCCTTTGAATATATTTTAGTATACAACAAAAATAATAAGCTAATATTTTTGAACTGAGGATTTATGTAATAATAATCAAAATAACAGGAGGGATTTCTGAACTGTAATAAAATGATAAAATTTATTGATATCTTTATGTTAAACATCACTTGAAGAATTATAGTAAAAAAATATTGTAAAGGTCTAAACTTTTTATATTTTTTTGCAACTGACTCAATGTAAACACATAATAATTGAACAAATTTGTAACCACTAAGTAAACTTTCAAAAAAAAAATCTAGAAATAAACATAAAAAATTTTAAACTTTTTTGGTCTTCCCATGTTCTATTACTATAATTATTTTCACTTAAAATATAACTATCATCTAATATAGTAGTAAAAAAGATGTAAAGCTGAAGGAAAAAATAATAGCTTTTTATTCTGACTTTATCCTAAAATTTCTAATTTATGATTAATTCCCATAAAGAAAGTTTAAATGTTTCCTAATATTAAGAAAAATTTCCATGAAAAAACTTAAAATTAATTTAGACCAATTATTTCATAAGAATGAATAATAATCAAAAACAATAAAAATTGACATACTTATTTTCTACTTTTTTCTCTTCAATTAATATGGCAACTTCTTCTGCAGTTTGATGTCCCTGCATTCGCTGACCTCCCAACATTTCCTTTTCCAATTCTTCAATACTCTAAAATTATACATCAAATTTAAAACAGCCTATAAATTATTAGATTTTCAAACAAATTATATATATATATATATATATTAAGCAGCTTGATAAAAATAAAATTAAGAATGTAGAAAATGCTCTATATAACATTTTTTACATTCTATATTATTATTTACTCTGGCATATAGAAAATATAAGATTTCAAAATGTATATGCTTTCAATGTTAATAGATGTTTCTTTATAATTATTAATGTAGCATTGCCAAAACATAATGAATGCATGTAAACTAAAGAAAACACTAATTACTCATTATAAAAGTATGATAAAGCAGTATTAAACGAGGTTTGTGTCACAGAGCCTAATAATGAATTGTAGCCCTATGAATGGAAAATAATAGTAATGATGATGATAATTTTTATAAAAACAAGAAACATTCCAATTACACAAAGCTGTGTAACTTTTGCAGACAAAACCAGTACACCATTAAACCTAGAAAACATTGAATGGATCTAACACAATACACAAAAGACAGTACTGCATCAAACTGCTGTGACTTGTAGATGTCTTTGAAGATACTGAAGACCATATAAGACCTAGCCATAAACAAAAAAATTACAGAAAGCACATCTTAAAAAACAGCACTTACAGATGACACTTATTGAAAATGCCACATGCATAAAACTATACAACTCATTACATGAGGTTGCAAGCTTTTAGCACAAACTGACTACTTACATTTACATAATCAAACAAAAAAAAAATATATCAAAAGCTTGCACACAAAAACTATCACATGCGCAGGAAACATACTACAATCATACATCTCAAACAGTCATAGTAAATAATATACAAAATGTGCTATGATTTGAGCTTTGATTACAGACAAAACAATCCATGACAGACAGACATTTCATTCACAAATCACACACATTACAGACAGCTATATCAAACACATCATAGAAAACAAATACTGTATACTGAAAAAATTAGCAAATACTCAGAACTTGCTTGCAAACTAAGCATTCACGGAGAATGGATAAGGTACTTATTGTGTCTGTAGGCCTTTCTTGTGCAGTCATCTTTCCACATACACTACATGGAAGTCTGCAAACATTAGATTTATACAACAATAAATATAGGGTAAGTTTTAATTCATTCAAAATTTTAAACTTTAATAACTTTTCAACTGAATGAGAGAAATAAAATTCAAAAAGTTCTATGTAATACAATGTCATCAGACTACAGAAAGCAGTCATACTAAATTCATGCCACATAGGAAATTTTTAAACAGACATATATGAACATTACAGTACTACTTTTTCTATAGTTCTGCTTTGACCTTGGTCTGGCTTAGCACAAGGCATTAGTATTAACAGAGTAGGATACATTCCAACATCACCATAACAGATACAAATTTCTTCAATAAAAACTTTTTGCAATGTATTATTGCAAAAAGTTTCTATAGTTAATACTAGTTGCCTCATCAAAATTCTACAAATTCTATAAACTTCTATTAAGAATCATTTTTTCTTATTTTGAACATTTCAAACTAACATAATTTAATGAGATGCTTATGCTCTAACGTGTGGCTAATACTTAAAAAATAAAAATAAAATTCTTTTGACAAAAATCCTTAAATCCTTAACACAAAAAACTAAAAATAAAAAAAAATAATAAAAGTGTAAGAGAGTAGATGTAGAAATGCTAATTTTTTAAACACAATCCTTACTATATAACGTTAAATAAAAAGTCTTATAAGAAATTATATGCATAATATTATTAATTGCCATTATTATTTTAAAATTAAAATCTCATAATATATGAGATTTTATTTTAATAATGTCAAAATTTTCTTTAATTAACTGAAATTTTGTCTGTAGATTTTTATTCTTATAAATTACCATTTAACATTTAACTTTAAAAATTATGTATTAACTAGATAAATGAGAAAAGAGAAAAAAAAATTACTTTTCCAGTTTTAACAAAAGCTTCTGCTACTCTTCGATTTCTTCCTCCATAACATGTTGTTATTAAATCTGCAATTCCACAACTCTCAAAGAATGTTGTAAGTTTAGCACCTGGATAGAATACATTACCAAACTCTATCATCTCCATTAATCCCAGTCTTATCACAGCTGCTTTGGTATTATCCCCATATTTTAATCCATCTACAAAACCTGCTCCACAAGCAACAATATTCTGTAACAAAATCATAAATTGTTTAATATAAATTCTCAATTATCATATATATATTTTTTTAAACAGAGTAAATAATGTTTAAAATTGTGTTTATTAAAACAAATATTTTCACTTAAAATTTAACTATCATCTAATACTATAATAAAAAAAAAAATTCTACTTAAATAAATTATCTTAAATTCAGATTATNATCATTTAGGTATTATTGTTTTATTTTAAACAACTAAAGTAATGAATAATGATTAAAATAATTTCATTAAATTTTTAAACAATGTACTGAAATAATAAATTACCTTTAAAGCACCACAAATTTCAACAGTATTCACATCATCAACAAGAGAAAGCCTAAAGTAATCTGTTTCAATTAACTCTTTAAGCATTTTACCTGTTTTTGAATCATTGCAACCTGTAGCAGAACAAAAAGACATATTTACAAAAAAATTCAAATATTTGATATTTAATCTTCCATATTTAAAATCAAAAATAAAATTTAAACAAATTCTGTTTTTTCATTAGTTATTTTAAAGATTTAAAACTGACAAAAATTTAAATTTTAAATAAATACATATATGAATCATTCAAAAATCAAGAGTTTTACAATAATTATAAAGAAGAAACATAAAGAAACATATATTCATTCATTTTATTAAATTAACTGACTATAAAACTGATTTATTTATAAAATATTAGCAGAATGAATCACATGTATGAGGTATTCCTAAATCACTTCTAATTAATTTACCATCATTTATAAATAAAAAAATAATAATAATATATTAATAAATTTAAGTATTGATCATTAATTACAAGGAAAATCAACAAATAAACAGTATTTGTTCCTTATAAACCCAATAAACATTCAAAAAATTAATATAACATCTCAATCTTTTTAATATATGTCCATTAGAATGTAAGCAGTTAATTTTATTAGAGAATGTATATTTTACATAAAATAATTTTATTTAGAATTTGAATATTCTAATGATCTGGATAGAATCCAAATATATCTATTAGTATGAAATGTTTATTCTTAAATGGTCTGGAAATTAGTGACTGAGTAAATTCAAATAATTTTTTTTTATTACATTTATTATTTATAGACTGTAAAAATTTGTATTAATTCTTTGAATTTAAGAATAACTTAAATTTCTACGCCTCTTTTCAAATTTTAATATTTAACTTTAAAAATTATGTATTAACTAGATAAATGAGAAAAGAGAAAAAAAAATTACTTTTCCAGTTTTAACAAAAGCTTCTGCTACTCTTCGATTTCTTCCTCCATAACATGTTGTTATTAAATCTGCAATTCCACAACTCTCAAAGAATGTTGTAAGTTTAGCACCTGGATAGAATACATTACCAAACTCTATCATCTCCATTAATCCCAGTCTTATCACAGCTGCTTTGGTATTATCCCCATATTTTAATCCATCTACAAAACCTGCTCCACAAGCAACAATATTCTGTAACAAAATCATAAATTGTTTAATATAAATTCTCAATTATCATATATATATTTTTTTAAACAGAGTAAATAATGTTTAAAATTGTGTTTATTAAAACAAATATTTTCACTTAAAATTTAACTATCATCTAATACTATAATAAAAAAAAAAATTCTACTTAAATAAATTATCTTAAATTCAGATTATGGAAATTTCTTGAATTAATTTTTGAATTAAAAAAAAATGTATATAAAAAAAATAACAAAAGTGGTTTTAATACCTCAAGATAAAATCTGAATTGTTTTAACTAATAAGAAATCAAATAATATAATATAAGCAAACTACAATCTCCATAAAATTACTGGTATAAACTCAGTAATTACATATTTTACATAAGCAAACTGTAAAAATCTATCAAATTTTTAATTGATTTAACTATCACTAAACAATTGAGAGGACTGGTGGAAAAATGGCATATTCCAAATTAGGAAGTTTTCAAGAAAAGAGGATTTGTTTTTCAATTCACTAGAACTTTAATATGAAACAATTTATTGATGTGGTTATACAACCCATGGGGCATGCAACTCTACTGTGAAAGTTTTTTAAAAGATGGATTGATATGTAAATCCAAATTTGTTAATAACTCATTTTTTGAAGTTTTTCAGTATCCACTGTTTTTCAACTAAGCCCCTCAATTAATTTTAATTATATCAATGAAATTATCAATTAATTTCATTATATCAATGAAATGACATTCTATTTATATATGATATTGTTTCATTTTGGAATAGCAATTATATAATCTTAGAAATAATTCTGTTTTATTTTTCCTTGAAATATTTAAAATATAAAAATAATAAATTTTCATGTAATGATCAAGAAACAGTTGATTCTTTATAACAAATGTGAATAGATTAATGTAGCTCAAAAGACATTCTGAAAAAGTAATCCATATTAGATTTTTACAATATCAATTAGAAGTGAAGAAGAGACAATCTTTCTAATAATTTTTAAACTTTCTTTTGAATTTTATCCATCTAAATGAAGATGAATTCATAAAATAAAATCAACTATTTAACAATTAAGGCTTTTGTTATTTTAAAATATTTTTATTACTTCTAGAAATTATTACACAATTTTTCATTTTTTATGTAATATTTTCTATGAAATTAATTTAATAAAATTATATCATTTAGGTATTATTGTTTTATTTTAAACAACTAAAGTAATGAATAATGATTAAAATAATTTCATTAAATTTTTAAACAATGTACTGAAATAATAAATTACCTTTAAAGCACCACAAATTTCAACAGTATTCACATCATCAACAAGAGAAAGCCTAAAGTAATCTGTTTCAATTAACTCTTTAAGCATTTTACCTGTTTTTGAATCATTGCAACCTGTAGCAGAACAAAAAGACATATTTACAAAAAAATTCAAATATTTGATATTTAATCTTCCATATTTAAAATCAAAAATAAAATTTAAACAAATTCTGTTTTTTCATTAGTTATTTTAAAGATTTAAAACTGACAAAAATTTAAATTTTAAATAAATACATATATGAATCATTCAAAAATCAAGAGTTTTACAATAATTATAAAGAAGAAACATAAAGAAACATATATTCATTCATTTTATTAAATTAACTGACTATAAAACTGATTTATTTATAAAATATTAGCAGAATGAATCACATGTATGAGGTATTCCTAAATCACTTCTAATTAATTTACCATCATTTATAAATAAAAAAATAATAATAATATATTAATAAATTTAAGTATTGATCATTAATTACAAGGAAAATCAACAAATAAACAGTATTTGTTCCTTATAAACCCAATAAACATTCAAAAAATTAATATAACATCTCAATCTTTTTAATATATGTCCATTAGAATGTAAGCAGTTAATTTTATTAGAGAATGTATATTTTACATAAAATAATTTTATTTAGAATTTGAATATTCTAATGATCTGGATAGAATCCAAATATATCTATTAGTATGAAATGTTTATTCTTAAATGGTCTGGAAATTAGTGACTGAGTAAATTCAAATAATTTTTTTTTATTACATTTATTATTTATAGACTGTAAAAATTTGTATTAATTCTTTGAATTTAAGAATAACTTAAATTTCTACGCCTCTTTTCAAATTTTAATGGCTTTTAATTCAATATAAGAGAACTATTAAATTTCTATTATTAATAACTTACCAATAGTAGCTTCACAGAATTTTTCATCTGCAACTTCACCAGCAAGATTAGCTCCCATTAAAACAGCTATATCAATTTTCAATATATTATGAATTAATTTGGATATCAATTCAACTTTTCCTTCGGGTCCAATATCAAAGCCCTTAAAATATAAATGTTCAATGTTCAATATTGTAAAAATTAATTATTATAATAATCAATAATTAAGCTATTTCATATTAATTATATTTTATTATATTAATTAAATCTAAGATAAATTATATTCAACCATAAATCCAAATTAATAATTTTTCTAAAATTTAAATAGTTATCATATATTATAAATGTGTTATACTAGATAATGCCCTGTAGTGCAAGATGGGGGGAACTATGTAGTTAATGTTTTGGCCTTTTGTCTCAGTCAGGTTAGTTGGAGCTACCTTGTTAATATGGGAAAAAGAACGAAATATATTTATTTCACCTCCCACCCCTAGTTGATATATTATGTTCCCATCAAACACTACACACTTGTCAGACTGACCCAACCAGGATAATAGAAATCCATGACAGTATAAATATTTCTGCCATTTGCATCTCAGATATGGAACTGTACCAAAAATACTAGAGCCTTGAAAAAGGCTTCCTTCCTGTCTTTTCTGAGTAATAGAAATCTTGATATTCTTTTGGTTTCATAAATTCATTAATAAGGTAATGAAATAAGGCAAATTCTATTAGGTTATTGCAAATGAAAAGGCAGTTTTTTTTTTTTAAATTTAAACTTCCCAGACTTGTAGTTCAACTTTTTTCCATGTGAAAAAATTACCTACATATGATTACCATATTTTGAAACCCCAAAATAAAGACACCACCCAGCCAACTTGGTCACCAGAGTTGAGCATAAAGCCCTAACAAAATTTTCTAAATACAGGACTTACAATAATATGAAATGATAGATCTTTAATTTTTGAAAACTTATGACTTTTTAAATAAAATAGCATAAAATAATTTGATATATTTATTCTGCTCCCATCTTGTATTACTTACAGATTTCAATGTTAAACTAGTGATATTATGATTTAATATGTCCCATCTATGAGGGGATGCAGGAAAAAACCTGTACAATTCTTGTACAATATTAAAAAAAATGAACTGTTACTTTAGCAACATCATTCACAACTAAATGTAATGAATGAGATGCACAAGATACAAAAAAACCTCTAGAATTTATTTTCCTTAAATTTACAATTTATATATCTGTTGTCACAAAAATTTGTCTTTCCACTACTTTCCCCAGACTACAAATATTCAAGTACAAAGTAACCGGTTTCAACTTATTTCTACCTAAGAAGCAGTTAAATAATTAAGAGATTAGGGAATTAGGGACCTAAATAAAACCCTGATGAAAAAGCCAGAATTTTACTTAAACAAAAGCTTAACCAAACCAATCTCTAGCCAAGAACAGTGGGAACTGATTTCTTCGTAATATTAGATTATAAAGACAGAAATTTTTCCAGTTCAATGAGAATGACCAAAAAGTTGTAAATTTTGGAAATTTCCATGGACACCTGATCCTAAAACGAATTACAGTGGTGCCTCGTATAATGTACGCCTCGAATAACGGACGCTGCGAACAACAGACTTACCATTCGGCAGTTACATGAGGTGAACAACCAGTGGTGTAGCAAGTGGGGGTGCAAGGGAGTGTATCATGCACCGAGCGCCACTCGCAGAGGGGCGCCAAATGGTCTCCAGCACAAACTATATGTGTTTCTGGAGGGGGAGGGGGGTGCCAATAAAGTGTCCTGCCCTGAGCACCAGTTATGTTCACTATGCCATTGTGAGCAATGATATTTCTGCGAACAAATGCGAATGATGTTTCCACTCTTTTGCCGTTGCCAATGACAATCTGCTATTTTTTATAATATATTATTATTATTAGAATATATTATTAGTATATCTGAAGTACAGAGCTCCCATTGGGATTCGGCTTGCTCCCTTGTTTATTACATACATCAGTGAAGGATATTTACATTTATTCAAGTGTTGTGCAAATTATGGCTTCTAAAAAAAAAACAGAAAGGTGATTTCAATTGAAACAAAGCAATACATCATCAGAAGGAGTGAAAGTTGACAAAAAACTTCCTTGTCAAATGAGGATAGGTTCAGGAGTTTACCAACACTCATTATCCAAACAGAGCTGAGGCCAACAGGATCAATGATCTCTACAATGACACCCTTGGACATGATTTTCAAGAAGCAAGCTGCCAAAAAACAAAGGATGGAACAAGAGGAGATGACCCTGTAAGCTCCGGTAGCCTCTCCTGAATCTGACTCCGATTAAAAAACAATGAAAAGAGACCTGCTGCAATGTGTAAAAAGTCTATCTGTATGAATGTGTAAAGAAAGTGTTCCTCCGCCTCCTCCTCACAACATCTGAGTACCCAGCATAATTGGTGACTGCTCCATTTTTGTTTCTTTATGGTACAGTATGGTTATTTTATGCTGCAGAACAAATTATATGTTTTATCATGTATTTCTATGGGAAAATGCATTTCGTATAACGGACTTTTCACTTAACGGACGTGCACCTGGAACGGATTAAGTACGCTATACGAGGCACCACCATAGTTAGAAAACAAATGATGAACAATCTATTAATTTAAATTTAACTTATTTAGATTTTTACAGCTATGGTGAGAAACATTTAAAATTTACAACAATCCTGTCGTGTTCTTTGAGGTATACTAATGATGTGACAAAAGAAGCATTTGACATTGACCAGTATCGGCATCCTTGGGATTTGGCAGCCCGCGTGCATGCACCTACTAGGACCATCTCTGATTCCATCCATTAGTCACTCATAGGTAGCTATTTGACCAAGTGAATTGTTTCAAGATTTAAAAAGTAAAGAATATTTTATGTTATTTTTATGTACGTTTCTTTACAAAGTTATATTTAATTATAATTATATATCCACCACACATTTTATTTTACCAAGCAAGTTATTATTATTTTATTTATAACACAGATCTGCAAGTAAAAAACTGCATAGAATTTTTATACATTTTCTTACAGATTTCAGCTTGGTAAAAATGAAAAAAATACCAAAAAATTCCATCTTGTCAATTTTTTTTGTTACACTCAAGTTTTTGTTTGTATTTAGCGTAAAATTCCTAGTTAACTTAAAATTTAGTAATTTTTTTTATTTAAAAAAATGGCCTTAAAACAAAGACTTCTCACATTAATTCTATCAATTATAGCTGGACTTAGTAATAAATAAATAAAAATGTTAATGGTTGAAGAGAGTAGTGGTAGGGGCAGGTGGGTTAAGTAGTTTTAGCGTTAGGAGGAAGGTCACACGATCATATAGAAACAGGTTAAAAGTTGATAGTGAGTAATACTATTGGTGAGGTTGAGCATGTTTCAACATGTTATCTGGGATCTAGGAATAAATATAAACAACCTGCTGTTGGATTAGATCATGTTTTAACAAGCTAAATAAGTTCAGTATCTCGCTGGCCATAAATGCCACACTCAATTTATATCCAGCATTCGAACACTACTGTGCTTGTATTTTTTTTTCTGGAATATGGCTCGCAGAGGTTGGGTAATTTCTCCCGACAGCTTCTGTTATGTTTGTGGTGAATACACAGTGAAAAGTCAACAAAGAAACATAAGTGAGTTTGTGAAGAAAGTTTAATTTGCATATTTCAAATTGAAACTTGGAGATCAAGACAAAGCAGATTTTTGGAAACAATGGGAGAAAAGGAAAAAGAAGCATGGGACTCTTTCAAGAATGTAGTGCATAAGTTTTTGGGGAATACTAAGGACTCTGACTACAAAACCATTGTACAACGCATGCTGGCAGCAACATATGAAGCTCGAGGATGCAAGAGCTTACACTCCCATATTGACTATTTTCCTGAAAACTTGGGAGCTACAATGAAGAACAGGGTGAAAGATTTCACCAAGATGTCCGTGATATCGAGAGACGTTACCAAGGAAAATGGGATGTCAATATGTTAGCTGACTACTGTTGGATGCTCAATTGAGAAACCAGAGAAGGAAATCAGAAACGAGTTTGGAGAAGCATCAAAAAGAAGAAAAGGTTTCAGAAGAAAAAAAGACTAGGCCTAAAATTGTGTATAAATATCAGAAACAATTTGTTGATTAGTTGTAAGAAAATATAATATATTTAGTTCATTGTAATAAATAAGAGTTTTTATCAAAAATTTGTTTTTATTTTGCAAAAAACCTTTACGTGATGGGATGTAACAGAAGTTATTTTTAGAATCTGCCATCTTTAAAACATATAATTCAGCAAAAATATTCCATGCAGCTAGAAAAAAAATTTTTTTGCAGACCTGTGTAATTTTAGCCCTTATATCATGGCTAGCAATTCAGAATGTAATTGTGATATTAAAAATACATTTAGAGAAGTCTACGGTTTTTACAGGCTTATTGAACAAACGAATACAAATGGACCCTAGACCAGGGCTTCTTAAACTGTGGGTCACGACCCCATTTGGGGTCACTTAGTGAAATCTTGGGCAAGATTTTAATGCAAAATTTTGAAAATAATTTGTGAGAATTTGAAAATGGCGTGCTTTGTGTCATAGATTTCGTGAGTTGAACTTTGTGTCAATTCTGGTGCAGCGAGACAATGATTCAGCAATACTGACTGTAGTGTGAACTAGTGTAGTGTTGTTGCTTTTCAGTGTATTCAGTTGGCTCTGTTCCATTGTAACACAAGAGTGAACTGTGGTAGTACACCATTATTGGTTTTGCATATTTGTATATACAGTCGACCCCCTATAACATGGTAGATACGTTCCGTTCTTTATGAATCCATTTTGTACGAGTCCTTGCCAATCACAGCCTGACACGTGTGAAGTTTACGGACTATGGCTGTTTGAAACGTTTTCTTCCATAAAATTAATAGATTCCTAGACTAATTCGACTCAACATTTCCAAAACACGTATATTTTTTTGGGAATAATCTGTATAAACTATGCTATAAACAAAAAATTGTAGGATTACTTACTGAGTGTGCACCGTTTGACGTTGCCATTGCTTAAGTTTGTTTTCGTTGCGAAGCAGCGCACCAAACTGCGGCCGCGATTTCTGATAAGTTATTTTTCTGCGAAAACTTCGTTGAACTTTGGAGACATCATTAATATAAATAATTTTTATGGCCGTTGAATAAGAAATGTTTCTTTCACAAGAAATATATAAAATTA